TTAAAGATTTGGCATACGTCTGTTGTAAAAACAAGGAGTAAAAATAGGAAGTGCATGCTAAAAATCTGTTTCGTTTTTGTCATTGTTCTAATTAAAGCCTTCAGCCCTAGACATGATCAAAGTGCCTTACCGTCCTTCATTCCTTGGAATGTAAATTTTTATTGTACACAGCTAAATTTCCACTTTTAAATAAAAGAAAAAATATAGGGATCAAGAGATTACCTAAAAAGCTCCATATAAAAATGTGATAGTTTAACTTTAGTGTGTGTACCTGGTTTGAATAATTCCCCGGATGAGGAATTGAGTAGGAAACAATCTTAAAAATAACTCACTACTTTTCAAAATCTGATTTATCATTTAAACTAGAAAACAGAAAGTGAGTTAAATTACATATTTCAATAGCAATACTTAAAAGATGACATCCAAACTGCTGTGAATTATTAAACTGATTCTAAACTCGATGAGTTTTACAAAATAATTAGCTTAATGGAAACTATGGCTTCTTATGCCCTACTTTGAGAAGCACCTGCATGTTCTGAAAAACACGATGAATTTCAGTTGTACTGTAACCCAATTCCTTTAATCTCTGAAATATTGCTTGCCAATTCATCCTGCCTGCTCCAAAGTTATATTCAATATCTGGTCAACAATATTACTGAACACAATAGCAAACTTCATTATTCCTTTTCATTCTATATTCTGTGGGGTTTTGTTGTTGTAGTTGCTGTTATTTTTCCTTCCTTCTGCGATAGCATAATAAACTAATTCATGCCTTTGTCTTAGTTTTGGAAGGAATTATAAACCAACATCTAAGCAACAGACACCCTTTTTCCTAATTTAAAATAACTGTGAGATTGCACACTACAGTAGCAAATTTGTAATCAACTTAAAGATAATGTCTTAAAAGTACAATTAAACATGTCATAACAGAAGAAAACCCTGGTAATTACAAATAGTATCATGCTCATTGGGGTTTTAAACAGGAGTGTAAGACTAAGAAAAATCGCCACCCAGTGATGCAAATGAAAACTACAATTTGTTTTTGAGTAAAATGAGTACCCTGGAGGATTACTTCAACTTCATTACTGAATGAATGAATAGCTATTACCTTCTTATGTGAATAGGAACTGGATACAAGGGAAAGGATGTTTTCTACTAGGCCCTTTTCCCCCTTATTCTTATTCAGCACACTCGACATTTTACAAAGGCTAAAAGCTTTGGAAACCTTAACGAGGAAAAAGTTTTCCATCCAAAAGTGACCAAATTGTGTATGAACAGCCCAGATATTCCTATCATCAACAAAAGTGCCTGGGCTCTGCCTGGACCCTGAATTTCAAGTCAGGAGGTGTTAAGCAACTCAGTAATGCCATCTGATAATTGCGACCTAAAACCTATTTGTGTTAAGCAGGAAGGCATGCCTAATAAAAAAGGTATTCTCAAGTGGGAAAAAACAGATAATTTATATCTTTAATTAGAAACAGATTATAAAGCCACATAAGATGATAATTTAAAAATTCTGTAGAATACAAATTGATAAGAAGTTGTTGCCATAAACATAATCATGTTTCTAAGTTTTTAGTTAGTTGTATCACAGAGAAGTTAATAAACACACAACACCAATCATATATTTATTTTTCTGCAATGTATTTATTGCACATGAGGACAAAGAAAGTTATGTGGATACATGCTAATCAAAGTACATGCGTGCAAGTATGCAGCTGTGTTGGTATTAGCATTTCATATCTACCATTTGACCTATTTGACATTTTACAAAATATTTTACACAGTATGCTCTGAGATTAAAGTCGATATTATATACGTCAGTACAGAACCATATGGTAAAGAGAGAGAACCATATGATAAAAAGAGCAACTTGGCAGAACAAATCATTTTTTAAAAGAGGTTACCATCCTATTTTTAAAGACATTAACTATATTCCTAATACTCTCTCCTGATTTTTATCAATTTGTAACCGCACCTAGATTTTGCTTATAGATTTTTCTTTCATTCGAGCTGGTTTTGTCTAGATGATGACATTATGACTCACTTGCTCCCCTCCAATCGTACCCCTCTCAGCCCCGCTCTTATCCTTCTACCTTGGTATGCCTACTCCCTTAATCATGAAGCCTTAGGACATAAGGTTCCAGCTAGTATCATCTCTTTCAAGAATAAAGCCTCAGGTCTAAGATCATGAAGACAATAAGTTTAGGATAAACTAAGGATAACATCTTGGCTTTTGGCATGTATCAGCCGCAAGCCCATTGAGGCAGAACAGCCCCCACAAGCCATGAGGCCCGGCCAAAGGACCAGACAGGATGGCGCCATGGCTGATTCCTGAATCAGAGGGACAAAATGACCAATTACCTCATCTCCATCCAATCAGTAGCACCCACGACCCCAACTCCCTTAGTTTCCATGACTAGGGGAAAAATCCCTATTCTGGACTCCTGAGACACCCCGGGGAGCCAGGCCTTTGAGTGATAGCTTGCCTGTGTCTCTGGGATCTATAACTCTCTAAAATAAATCCTTACCTTCTTTGCTGTAAAACCTGTACATATCTGAGTGACAGACACACACAGGCAGATAGATCCCTTTTCCTCTGGTAAAAAAGTCGTCAGTTAAGTCTTGAACTGCTGAAGGATTGTTTACTAACTCAACAATATATACCACCTTCCAATCTCAACTTCATTAAGCAAATTATGGTTTTATGCAATATTTTTAAATATTTAAAATACTAAATAGTGAAAAGTTTGGGGTAGCCAAAATTAAAGCCAAATTTTATAACCAGTAATATAACAACCGACCCTTTTTTATTAAAAAAACAAACAAACAAACAAAAAACTCAGTACTGTCTCTTTTAAACAGTAAGGAAAACATATGAAATTTTTTTAAAGAACTTAAAATGTCACCAATGTCTTAAAATTAAAAATGAGACTATGACATAAAAAGCATGGATAGCTTGGTAGTTCAGAGGGTAGGCCCTGCAGTCAGATTTCCGGGCTAATCCCAGACCTGCTGCGTGAGCTGGAGGAACCTGGACAAGTTAAGTCCTCATCTGTATGTGGAGAATAATACCACCACTTCACTCGCAGGGTTGTTCTAAGCATTTTACACATATTAACTCATTTAATCCCCTCCATAGCCCTATGGGGTTGGTATTGCTATCATGTTCATTTTCTAGATAATGACACCTGGGAGATTACATAATTTGCCCAAAATGGTGAAGGGTGGCAGATAAACCACTTGGAAATATGCTGCTTTGGCATAGGATTATTTTGACCTGATAAAGCCCCCATAGGAAAGATGTCAGGAGGAAAGAAACTTTCTTATCAGCAGAGATAGAGAGTTGACGCCAAGAGAACTATACAAACAGACCTCGTTAAAATAACTCGTATATTCCATTAGTTTCCCACGTATTTTAGTTACTTTTCCACAGTGACTCTTTATTCGACCTGGTATATAAGCACTTAGGTTTTGCCACTTCTTCTGGTCTTCATTTTTCTATGAGGGCTCCCACGTACATTTAATAATCTGTGTGCTTTTCTCCTGTTAATCTGTCTTATGTCTATTTAATTTTCTGTACACTAAACTCAAATCCTTTAAATGGCTATTTGCTAACAAAAGAATAATGCTGAGAGGGAAGCAACACTGGCAGCTTTCAAGGAACAGAGAAGTTGGGGTTGACAGAGCCAGTTCTGAACTGGAAGCCAAAGCACAATTCCTGACATGGTAAGAAAGGCCAGACAAGCAGTAGTGTCCACAGCACCCCACTTCATCCTGGTCAGAAGGCTCCCAGAAAAATTGCCAACCCTTGCCAGACTATGCCCCACTATTTTGCCTCAAGTAGAGGAGAACTGGTCAAAGAGAAGACAACTCTGACCACCCTAGCCACTGCCCGTGCCTCAGGCCACAAGGAGCAGATTCAGAAAAACACAAAGCCCTGCCAGAACTTGACTGTGAAAAAGATGAGATGTTTTATGGTAACATTTAGCTATGAGAAAAACTCTATTTTGGTCTCCCAGAGATTAAGGCCAAGAAACAAAAGAGGGCCAGAGAGGTAAAACCCGTGTCCTTTCTGCAAGAGACTATATCCTAAGGAGAAAGGCTGAAGAGGCAGAGACCACCTACCATACTTTTAAAAGTGGGAGGTCAGAGACATAGAGTGAGCCCTGGATCTGAAAGGGCCTAAGCTGAAAATTCGGGATCACCCTTAAATTCTACCTATGCCAGGGGACCCTACTCTGACGAGGCCAACGTAAAGGAAGAGGTAGGAAACCAGAATCTGGAAAAGAAAACACCTGAGAAACATCGCAGGGAGTAAACAACCTGTGAGTTCATGTAAATCCTCTCAAGAAAGAGCCTGAATTTGGTCCAGGGTGGATTTGCCCCACAAGGGGACACTGGGTTCTGGCTCCTCCTTGCCAGACTGAAAATCTCTTCCTCAGGGAAAGAAGAAAATGTCATTTTTCAGAATTCCTCTTATGAAAAGCATAGTATTGGTTTGGAAGAAATATTTTTTAAAACCACTAAAATCTTAATAGCAGTATTAATTTTATAATAGGAAATAAACTGGGCTTAAACATTGAGGAGACATTATTGAACATTATTTAGATTTGAAAGTGTACTTCCTTCAGTAAATATTTATTGAATGCCAAATTTAACTTCAGATGCTAATTTAAGAAGCAAGGTTTGGTGCTATTTATAAAACAGAACTTGAAATTATCAAGGTTTGTTACAATTAAAAAGGTTGACTAGCACATCAGAGAGCAAAACAATGGGATGATTTTATAAACTGAATTTGAAGGACAGAGCCACACCAACGTTTAAGAAGAGTATGACTTGATGACAATATTCTAAGTGATTGATAAACTTTATTTCTATAGGTTTCATATATATAAATTAATTTAAATAATTTAAAAATCAATCATATAATTTTCAAGTAATTTTTTAAAAGAAAAATAATTTATCTAATTATGATTTTGTTTCTTAAGAAGACTCACCTAAAAGGACAAATCCATCTGCTTCTGTCTCTGGTACCGAGGGCTTTTTCGATTCCGGAGGCTTTCTGAAGAAGTGAAACATTGCCGCTGCTGCAATCTGAAATAGAAACACTATATAATGTCAAATTCAAATGAAACCGTAAAATTCATACTCTTTCTAGTAAAAAGCCAAATATAAAGATTTCACAATAACTACTTTTTAGGAATTCTATTACCAGACTTAAAAACACGAGCCCTCCTCTCTAGGTGTCAGAAGACAGAGCCAAAAATTAGGATGGATGAACTTCCAGTTTAAAATCACGTGTGCCATGAGTCATGCAACCTCTCAATTTCTGAATATGCAGGAAATAACCCAAGAAATCACTACATGTAAAGCTAATATCAGCAGTTAACACCAGAACCTAGAAGGATCTTGCTGACCATAAATTAGACACTTCATGGAGGAAAGGGGGAAAAAAAAACCTATCATGCCATAACTAGCATAAGCCTCATAAAACTGAGACCGCCTGAAAAAAGAAGGCACCTCAAATGTCCTCTGTAGTTAATTACCTGACTCACTCAAGAACTGTATTCATTGTAAAACTGTAGCCAGCTTTAAATTCCCATCAGTGCTAATCTTAGTGTTGATGAGATTATTGTGTGCTGCCCCCAAACCACACACAAACACACACACACACACACCTCTTATACCTTCTCCCACCTGTGTACATTCAGGCAAGGCAACAACTCCTAACAAAAAGCTGGGAAGAAGCTGAAGGGAACTTGCCAGGACACACTGCATTCCAGGGACAGTTCCTATAAGCAAAGCAATGTAAGAGACAGCGAAGAAAGGAAAAATCCTGGTAGCAGCAAGTGCTCCACATTTTTGTTTTCAGATATTCCACCCAACCAGAAAACCAAGCAGGGAGGGTAAGTAAAGATTTTATCTGAGAAAAAGCCTTCTAGAAACTGAACATTGAACTGAGACTTGTGTAGGTCAACCTGCCCTGAGCAGTACGTCCAAGTGGATGATAAAGGAGCCCATATGTTTTGTTCATAGAAAACATATCTGGCAGATTTACTTTTTAAAGGAATGTGAAATGGAGAAGAAAAACACAAGCCACGTGAAAAAGAAAATATTCCAGTAAAGGAAAGGAACAGCCTCTGAAATCCTCAAAGAGCTTAATGGATATAGTGATAGATCCAAAAGAAAAGTCCGAGAATAATCTGGCACCCTTGATAGAGTACAAGAGACATAGCCTCTAAGAAAAACAAAATTAAAAAAGCAAAGGAAAAGATGGAAAGACAATGAGATGAAAAAAATAACTGAATACGATAAAAAGAAGCCCATTCAAGAAAGAAATATCAGAAAAGAATTGGTTGGTTTATAAGCAGGAATATAAGAAAATAGAGTTCAAGTTCAAAGACTAAATGACTGGAAGAGACAACTAACTTCTTAACCTCAAATAGTTAAAAATAAAACAACAAAGAAGGCCTCTGAAGGAACAAAAGCTGATTAAAACTCAACCTCAGGTAAGGATCAAATCAAGGGAATAGTCACCACACTTAATATTAAAACCTCAGCGCTGATTAATGTGGCGCTCAGTAAATTCTTTCACTTAAAATAAAATGGTTCAGGAAAAAGAGACAAAGCGAGTAGGTCTCCAACTGAAGCGTGGGAAGGGGCACAGGTAGGGGTGAAAAAAATGAGAAATATAGCAAATCTAAAAGTTATTTATATCTAGCCAAAATTGTAGATCTGGCTATTGATACTTGAATCTGACTAGAATTAGGTAAGAAGTCAACAAAATTTTTGACTAGAATTAGGTAAGAAGTCAACAAAATAACTACCAGTTTGGATTAAAAGAGGACTACGAATATTGATATTTGAAACAACCCTACAGACACGAAGCTGCCAGAGAAAAGTGCATAAAAGGCCTATTGCCAGTGTCCACTTCGATGGTAGCCAAGGAAGTTACTGGAAATGTGGAGAGTGGAGCCAATGGGCATGGAGAACAATGGACTGGGCAGCCTCTTCTAGAAAGCAAGATCTGGGCATAATTAATGAACATTCTCCAACCTAAGGTGGGGATCCCCCAAAATGCCTGCTCACTCAGTGGGATTTCAGAATTGCTACCACTCTGTGACTGATATTTATCTCCCATTCCTCCCCTTTCTGAATGGGAGTGGTTTTGTCAGTTATCTTTCCCAGTTCCACAAGGAGGGGAGGGGACAAAAGGCACAGACTACTGGTCTTTTCAGTTTATGAAGTCTCCAGACCAAGAGGTAAACACATCTGAACCTGATGAAGAGATACTGAGGTTTGAATGTGGTACTATGGCTGAATGGGGCAATTTGGGTCATTGCCGTTGGGGAGGGCTGAGTCATTTTGCCTCCAGCAGGGAGAGAGAGCTGAGTATTTGGTGATCACGGAATCATGAGGGCTGTTCACTGGTTCTGTCTTATGGAGACATATCAGGACTGTAACTGTCTACCATCCTTGAGGGAGGTGTGGCCATGTGGCTTGCTTAGTTCACTGCGTCACATGCCATTAGAGTTCTATAAACAAGAAGATTTGTGGACACAGAGAAAGAGAGGCCCTTTAAAAAGTGTCTCCTGTTCTAACATGTAAAGAAAAGCCTTTCAACAGAAGGACTCAGATTTCCAAAACCTTTTCATGTCCAGCCACTAAACAGAAATGGAACAAACATGGAAATCAAAGTGGTTCTGAAATATCATTTTCGAACCCCCAAATTTTAGATATGTTGTCCTGAGAGCCAAACCAAACTTAGCTATAATGCAAGAATATCTTTTAATGCAAGTATTTTGTACCGAATTTATAACTCAAGTAACTAAGTGAGGCATTTAGGTTTCTCATGACCTGAAACATAAACCTTAAATAATTTACAGCCTGCAGCAGTTTGTTGATAGAATGAATTACTGGCAATATATAATATTATAGTCCGTCAGTTTAGAACATCACAAAATTCCAGATACATTTAGAACAGGAGGAATAATTTAGGCTCCAAGAGTCAAAAACTTCCAGGCATGGAAGATGGAATAAGAGAAAGGCAGCAGAGATAGTATGGAAGAACTTGGAATAAGAGCGAGGACGAGTTTACTACAAATATCCACTGGAAACAGCTCTAAATTTGTTACAAAAGTACCAGCCGCCCTGCCTCCCAGCATTCAGCCAACCCCACCACCACCTTAACTCCTTCCTCTACATGGTCCCCCTTGATATGTTTTCCCATGGTGCCAATTTTATAAGTCTCAGGATGCACTTGTATGATCAATCCTGCTGTTGACATTAATGATTCATTCCACTAGGTACCTCAAGTCAGCCTAACCATGGATCTTTATAGTAATTGCTCCATACATGAAAAATCTATGTCCTGAGACACTAAAATCTATAATCAAATTATCTTTATCTCATGACATTTTTTTCAGATCCTTGAAAAACACACAAGTGGTAGGAAAATTTATCCTGGCAGGACTGGCAAATACCGTTCTAAGATCTCTGCTCTATGAGCGATTTCTCACAGTGAGAAGTATGGTTAGGTCACCACTCCAGCAGCCAGATTTAGTTATCCTGCCTAAGACTGGAAACCGGGAAGGAAAAGGGAAATGACTACACTGTGTCAGGCACTGTATCAAAATGCTGTATATCCTCTATCTCCAACGATTTATAATCCCCTCCACCAGGCACACATAATTATTCACAATGTGTTAAGTGAAAGAATTAAAGTATAAAGTAGGTTAAGTATTGGTCCAAATTCATAGGGCTAGTAAATAGCAGAGGCAAAATTTTAAACCAAGTCATTTTAGCACCAAAACTACATGCTTTTCATCAATAAAGCACCAGAGAAAAGGAATCCTTAACACTTATGACGTTTGTGTTGGACTTTAATATTTTCCAATATTAGTTGAAAACATTTGATTGCTTTCATTTTTGTCTTTATCAATCCCTACTTTCCCAAGTCTTGCTCAGCTCTATGTTCGGAAGACATTTATAAATTCTACATCATCTATACTTAAGATCTTCACTCACTTTATATTTAATAAAGATTGATTAAGTGCTTAGGCCAGATAGTGACTGAGCGCTGCAAATGCAGCACTTGATTCATATGTAGGGGGAACAAACTGCAAACACAGTTTACCATTTTCTGAGGCATTCCTTAGCAAAACTAGGGTAATTTAAAAGCCCCACCCCCAAAGTAGAGGAGGCCTACAATAGTCCTGCTGCCCCCAGCCTAGCATATGGTAAATTCCAAGCACTCATATTTCTGGTGTATGTGGCCTTGACAGTTGGACTTCTTCTGCTTGAACTTCTCTGGTATATTCCAGTCTTGTTTCCTGATTTAAAATTTTCAGCATTTTTTAAATGGCATACAATGAGCACATTTTACATTTATAAACAGAAAAAAATACCAAAATTTATTCTTAAAAATACATTATCAGCTAGCAGAAACGCTCTTGCCTGGCTGAGCTGGGACCCAACCCAGCATACTTCCTAATTCTCAAACATGAGAATCCTTGATACAAAAGAAGAATAAAGAATTCACCTGCCCAAGCCACGAGCCAGAACGAAACACTTGAAATTCACATATCTAATATAGAACATGTATATAAAATATATTTTAAAACTCTTAAAACTCAACAATGAAAAAAATCAATAAAAACTGGGCAAAAGATATGAACAGACATTTCACCAAAGATGACAAGTGAATGGCAAAAACACACACACACACACACACACACACACACACACACACACACACAAAAGGATGTTCAACATCATTAGTCAATAGGCAAATGCTAATTAAAATCTAAGTAAGATACTACTACATATCTATTAAAATATTTAAAATTAAAAAGGCTCACCATGCAAAGTCGTGGCAAAAATGTAGAGCAACTGGAACTCTAGTACATGGTGTTAAGTGTGTAACATAGGACAACCACTCTGGATAAGAGTGGCAGTTTCTTTAAAACGTAAAACATACACCTACCATGTGACCCAGACTTTCTCCTTCTAGGTATTTACCGAAGGAAAATGAAAGCACATGTCCATACTTGTACACAAATGTTATACAGCTTTTTTTGTAATAGCCCCAAACT